ATATATATATATATATATAGAGGTGGATTATATACAACCTCTTATATTTGTACAACCAATACAACTCAATCTCAACCGTCAATTTAATTTGATGAATATGTAATTTATAGAAGTTTTGATTATTTTCTATTATAAAGTATTAATCATAATTAATGAACCATATTTATATTCCATAAATATTTAAATCATAATAAATGAACTCTCATCATTTCTATAAATATTTCAATTTATTGGGTTGAATTGGTTGTACAAATGCGATAGATTGTATTTGAAACAAACTATATATATATATATATATGTATATATATATATCCGAATGCACACATCAATTTCAACCGTTCATGTGGTATGAAAAATATTTAGTTCTATTAATATTTCGATTGTTTCACAATTTAAAGTCATGATCATAATGAATAAAATTTATCATGTTCTATAAATATATCGATAAAAATAAATGAATCATGATTATTAATCGATTATTTCATAATACAAATGTTGGATTTTTAATTAAAGATTTTTACGATTTATAAAAATTATTTATGATAATATCAAGTCTTATTCCTATGGTTTGAATTTAAATCTTCCTGTATTTATTAAGTACAATAAAAATGTTCGTATAATACAGCGAGATATATCTCAATTTTTAATGTTTCTTTTTATTATTTATCCATGTCGATAAAATACGGTTTCTAGTGGTTTTGAGAAATACGATAATATTTTTGTTTTTGAATAAAAAAATAAATTTAAATATATCATAAAAATTTAGAAAAAAATATCGATGTTAGTATTAAATTTACTATTTAAAGTTCTGATTTTTTTTATGTAATTCTTTAATTTAATATATTATTTATAATTTAATTTAGATTTAATAATGAAAGCAATTTATTTATCGTTTAATAATATATTTTTTATAAATATAATGATTAAGTATTTTGTTATAATTAATGATTATCCGAATTATATTTTAAAAATTTTATATTAAAAAAAGAGATATTAATCTCGTATTTGATTATATTTATCTATAATTAGTTACATAAATTCAAAAATAAAGTTTTAATAAGCTGTACTTACGCACAATTTACCCGTGATCTTGAATTTTAATTAATATGCATCAATAAACAGTACTTTATGCATACAAAATAGTTTTTAAGAGTTTTTTATCAAATGTTTTATAATACAACATACATGAAGTAAATTATGGATTTGTACTCTAAGGTATGTCATTTGCTCACGAAATTGGTTTTTTTTTATCTTCATATATTATAAAAGAACCCTCCATCTATACAATTTGTTACATATTTGAACCCTTACACTAACTTTAGTTTATTCTCTCCGTTAACTTTGACGAGATTTTATTTCTTTCTAATTTTTTCTCCATTTTGATATTAAAATTTTATCCCATTTTTATTTTGTCTTTTTTCCGCAATTTTAACACCAATTACACGATGACATGTGGCACGTAAACAATATAAATGGGGAGACGTTTCTGCAATAGAAATCAGTACCAGATCGATTTGGGTACTGATTTCTATGGGACTCAAAACTAGGACGAAAAACCGAACCTTATGTACAAGTTTGGTGCCGGTTTGATATCAGTTTCAGGACGGGAAAATTGATACTAGGACCACTTAAGACCGAAATATGAAAGTGGGTTAAGAAACAATTAAATGTTCATAATGTTTCAAATGCGTATCAAAACCGATCGTAAAAGTTCAACAGTCAAAATTACATATTGTTTGAAAATCTTTCGAATGTGTATCAAAACCAATCACAAACCACTTGATCTTCGGTAGTTTTTTTTCCTTTCCATTTTGTTCATTTACCGCCTGCTGAATCTCTCTATGTACGGTTCGGTTTCGGTCCGTTTTCATCGGTTCGGAAAATATGGTCCTCGAGTCTCGTATTTGGACCTCCAAGTTTTACTTTAATACATTTTGCACCTGTTTTTAAAATGTTAGACAAAAAAATGTAAAAACAAACAACAAGGGTAAAATTACCATTTTATCCTTATATTTAACAGAGAGAACATACAGTCGTTTGTATGAGAGACCAAATCCATTAAAAATTGCATAGATGAAGGTTCTTTTATAATAAATAAAGACAAAAACCAATTCCACAACAAATGACAAACGTGAGTGACCAAATCTGTAATTTACTCTTAAATATATTAAACAATTAAAAAAAAAATCATCTCTCGTTACTATTTGGAAGGCTGTAATTTTTTAATTGCCGCAGTTTTTTGCTCTTGCTGATAGTTTAGCACGAAGCTAAAACGTATTATAGATAACGGGAAAATCTTCAACGAATCACAAGAACAAAAACCGTAATTTAGGGTCGTTTATTAAATGTTTATCAGCAAGAATAACAATATTACTTACTTTACTCGGTAAGATTGTTGACCATCAAAACGACATAATAAACAATATTTTTCGTTAGAAGCATAACAAAATGAAATTGAAAAACCTAGAAAAAACAGAGGACAATCAATATCAAATACTACAAATTGGGGAAAAAAATTATGAAATTAACCAAAAAAACCAAATAAGTTCCTCGTTACGATGGAATTCAGCTAAAAAGGGGCAGACATAAGACGTAGGGGCAGTTTACCTAAATGCTTACCCGATAAGTGCTTGTCGTTAGGAGTCAACACTCTAATTTATTTTACTGGGTAAGATTGTAGTACATTACAACGTATTTCATGCAACAATTTGTCTGGTAAGCGCTTACCTGGGTAAGAGTTGTCACCCTCACTTACCGGGTAAGTCTCTCCATCTTTATCATCGTTCTTACCGGGTAAGATTCTTGGCCCTTGTCATGTTCATCCGGTGAGGAAAATTATCCGGTAAGTACTTATCGGATAAGCGTTTAGTAAACGGCTCCGTAGTCTTGTGTTTTACTTAAAAGGTTAAGGTCGATGCAATTTGAAAAAACGTATTATTTTTTAAATCGACGTAGTAAGCTTTCCATCAAATCAAACATGTTGGTTTTTCCCTCGGAGAGGTAATATATTTACTATAATTCATATTATTAACTATTTTATTTATTGTTTTTAGATAAATATTATTTATATGATACTCCATATACAAATACTTGAGGATTTATTGCACCGTATCATAATGTTAGATATCAGCTTTGAGGTTTTTTTTTTTAATTATTAACCTGGATATCTAACCCGCTATGCAAGCCGACTAATCTCAGGGCGACCACCTGCTTTGCAGATAGCCCGAAGTCACCGCATTTGAACCTCCGTGGCCACAAGAGGATTTTTATTTCTACATGGATTTAAACCTGAGACCTACTGGTACTTTTGACCTTTGGAGTCAAACTCAAACCAATCAGACACTACTCTTATCATACAAAACTTAGAAATGTTATTGAACGTGCTTATTAATAAAAAATTTAGACCTCACCATCTTTTATCAATAAAAAATATTAATAAAATAAGACTTCAGAACTCCACACTTCTTAAAAAAATAAATATCATCTTAGAGGTTGTTTGTTTATCTCTTAATAGTTTCATTCATATGCAACATCTGAATCATTAAGAGCTGAATCTTGTTTGACAAAAAAAAGTATGTCTCTTAAATGATTCTAAAATCCTTTGAATGGTTTTGTATCATGGGTCACCGTTAATCATTAAACGTCCTAATTTCATTATAAACAATTACCAAACAATTATATTTCATTTTTTACTATATCATGAGAGTCTATTAATCATTCTGACCATTTACTCATTACACACCAAATCATTCGGTAAGTATCAAACAATTCTATAATTTACTCCGAAAAATAATATGTTAAATTGTAAAATAAATACTTTGTTTCGTATGATTGTTAACGTGCAACTTTGAAACACGTTTCTCTAAAGCGCGTGGAGTGGCGACACGAGCTATCTTCAACAACTCTCGAAAATTGTTATGGCTAACGACACCGTTTGGTCCATCTTAATCCCACGATCCTACACAACTATCCAGTTCGTGTGAGCTACCACCACTTCAGAAATACAATTTTCAAAGTTGCCCCTTAACTATCAACATAAATACAAATTACTACCACCAACTATCTTCTCACTTTTTCCTGGCAATTCAAAAAATCAAAAACATTTATTGAGTTGGAATTTATGGATCAACGAATCACATTATACGCATTTGACAAAAACTCTTAAAAACCATTTTTTATGCATGAATTACTGTTTATTGAATATTATTTAAAAATCAATATTACAAGTAAAGTATGTATAAATACAACTTATTAAAGCTTCATATTTGAATTTGTGCAACTAACTACAGATAAACATAATTAAATAAAGAATAAATATCTCATTTTAAATGTAAAAAATTTAAAATATAATTAGGATAATCATTAAGTTCTAACAAAATACTTAATTATTATCTTTATAAAAAATTATATTATTAAACCAAAAATAAAAAATAAGTTAAAGAAATACAAAAAAAAACCCCGAGAAATTTTAATAGTTAGTTCGATAGTAATATCAATATTTTATGATATTTTCATATTTATATTTTATTCAAAAATAAAAAATCATGGTTATTTCAAAACCACATAAAAAAATCGTATTAGAACATCGACTGAGACATAAATAAACAAAACAAAACTTTAAAATCGAAATGTATCTCGCTGTATTGTACGAGTACCTTTTAGTAAAATAAAACAAGTTTTAAAGTAAATTAAAAATCATTACGAAAACTCTTGAGAGACGTTTGATTAGAGTTATTAAACAGTAATCAATGACAACAAAGATAAAAGAAACTGTTTGTTTTTATTTTCATTTCTCAAAACCCTTTTAATACTTACAATCACACATTCATTTTCACACAAAACGAATATGATGAGATTTAAAATACTCAAATCGAATAGATATATAAAATTTGAAAAGAATTGAAGATTTGTCAATAGTATAAGGACCATTTGTGTAATTTGTTACAAAGTTTATAACGAAAACAAAAATGGTGTAACGCCCGTTGGAGGGAGAGTGAGAGAGATGGGTAAGGTAGGAGGTGGCGGAGCAACGACGGCGAAGAAAAGGAAAGGCCGTCCGTCTCTATTGGATCTCCAGAAGCGTGCTCGTGAAAACGAACAGTTACAAAATCAACAAAAATTACAACCAAGATCAACTCGCCGGAACCCTAACTCTACCACCGTCGCTAGTGTCGACGATGACTCAGCCAATGAAGATGAGTACTATGATGACGATGAGAGAAAAGAGAAGAAAGTCAAGCTCGTTGTTCGTTTGCCTCAATCGAATCAACTACAACAACAACATGCTTCGTCTGATTTAATTAGATCTTATTCTGTTAATTCGGGATCTTACGGCTCTGATTCAAATGCTAATGTTGATAATCGCAAAATTAACTCTGGATCTGGTAATATTATAGCTGATAATCAGGTACTGATTAGATTGAATCCTAAAAAGTTAGGGTTTCCGAGTTTTTGCTAAATCCCAATGCGATAATGTATGGGGACTCTAAAAGAAGCATAAATTATCTAAATTAAGGGATACCGCCCGAAAAACAAGGGCGAACATGATATTAAAATTTGCAAAATACGGTGGCAACAGTATTTAATTATTGCTGAATGTTTTTCATCTTTGAAATATTCTTTGAATTTTTTCGCGCGTAATTTTCTATATTCCCTTAATAGATTCAGGAGGGTGTATTTGTTTTGACCCAGTCAAGTTCTGTGTTTGTAGCAAGTTTATCCATAACCGCAAAACCTGTAAAGATATGCATATTGACGGAGGGTTTTATTTATTTTTTGGTTTTGAGTTTTTTATTAAATGAATGATTGAAATTCATTAAGTCTCTTGTTCTTTTTAACTTTACGTTACTGAAATTGATTCTCCAAAATTTATTATTTTAATATTAATAGTTTGTTTTTGGTTGGTCTATCTGCACATCACACACGTATAGGTACTTTGCAAAAAAGAACGTTCACGTACCTTCATGTCTTGGGATAAAGTTCAAAGCTATCTTATTATTCTGTGTTTTTTTTTCACTTCACTTGTACTTGCCATCTGGGGTTGATTGTTCTTTTACTGTAGGTGTCTTCATTAGTAATGAAGCTTTGATGTTTATTGATTTATCCGGTTCATGTTTTTGTTGCTGTAACAGTGGTCTTGATAATGGATTTATGTTTGTAGGGTGAAAAGGCTTCAAAAGTGACGGTTAATGTACATGGTATTAAGTCTAAAACCCTTTTGCTATTTTTTTTGTGTAGAAGGCAATCTTGGTTGGGCAATTTCCATCAATTAGTTTTCAGTGTTTGTTTTTTTCATGCTTCCATTTAAATTATGAGCAGGGTCACCATTGGAGTCTGGACCCACAACACCTTTGCCAGACAAAAAGTTGCTGGTGTTCATTCTTGACAGGCTTCAAAAGTGAGTCTTTCTTCCTTCCTTCCTTTGCTCTTTCAAATGGATATATCTTATTTTTGTACTGTTCATTGATTCCACAGAGCTCTTTGGATATTTAAACTTGATCTGCAGGAAGGACACTCATGGGGTGTTCTCTGAGCCGGTCGATCCTAATGAGGTGCTTTGTTCAGAAAATTTGTGTGTGAGGCCCAGTTTTTGTTTTGGTTTCCTAACTGACATGGAGAAGCTTATTTGTATACAGCTCCCTGATTATCATGAAATTATTGAGCATCCTATGGATTTTGGAACCGTCAGGAGCAAACTTGACGAGGGACTTTATTCAAGGTTGGATGAATTGGAGGTTGGTTATTTCTGCTACTTGTGCTTCAGCTATTGGATGTGTCAATATATTTACTCTGTTCGGTATAATGTGGTTGCCAAAGTTCAGTGTCCCATAGATTTTTTTTGGAGAAGGAGACATCTGCTAACCTATAAGATTGTATTGTTTGTTCTTTTTAGTGTTTGCACTTTGCATGCATGATGGACTCCAATCTCTCCTGTCAGAAACCTTACCAGTGTTTTCTAGCCAACTTCAGCATCACAAAGCATCTTCCCATTTTTCCTTGCTGGCTGTAATCATGGGGTTCTTGATCTTGATAGCGGTCCAAAATGCAAATGATGGGCATGCTTGGAAGTTCGAAAATAACTTGTAAACAGTCATCACCACATAAGTAAGGACTAAAAAGTTAATATCAGTTTAGGCTGGGTTTGATACATGGGATAGGATGGGAGAAAACTCACTGTCCCACGTTAGGTGCGACATGGTACAAGAAAGCAGACAAAAACTAAAATACTACTAATCAACCCTCGTTTGATATATAACCTTTACATGATATTTGTTTTAGTGGTCGCCACTGCTAGTTGCGGCCGCTACCACCACCTGTAGCCACCGTTGGCCACCTCCACAACCACCATCGTCCACCAATTACCAATGCTAATACCCCACAACCATTATTGTTGCAACAATCTTCACCATGCCTTCATCAATTGATAAGGATCTTCCAAACCGAATAAAACACAATTTATCCTTTGTATGAATCAGGTTTTTTCAAACTACCATCAATTATATAAAAAATTTCATTCAAAGTTGGTACTATTTTATATTTATGTATATGAAAATTATGTAAAAATGTTTATAAATTAAATTATTTAATTTATTTGTGTTAATTATAACTATTATGATATAGAAAATCGGAAAATAACTTTTGGAGACAACTTGTATAGTTCTGTCATGTCCAGTCCTAGTCGTGCCAAACACCAGACATACATTTGTTTTGTCCAGTCCTGTCCCCTTCAGTCTTATCTAGTCCTACCATCTTGTCCTGTCTAGTTCTGTCATGTCCAGTCCTGTCCAATCTTGTTTGCGTATCAAACGCTACTTAAGGAAACAAGGTAGTACAAGCATCCCTTGGGTCGGTAACAATGGTTTCTCTGTGGAAATAAGTAAGATCGTGCTGTGAAGGATATTTTGACTAGCTTCTTTCTGGGATTTCACTATATCATTGTTCTTTCTTTCAGAAAACAATGATTTGTTTCAGTTGTCATTTCCACCGTTCTGTAAATATATACCAAAGACTATAGTCGGGAGCTCACTGCTGCTGAAATTGATTGTAACTTTAGATCATATATAGTGTAGTTGTATATTTTCACCCTAAGTCAATTTCTATTAGCCACACACGCATTGTCTTCGGTTGAACTAAAATTAAACTATTTTTCTGCGGATCTACTTGCATCATTGACCTGGCCAAATGTGATCAGAGCATCCCAATTTTGTGTTCGTTTTTGTTCTAATTTAGTCGATTTGTCTTATGTTTAGTGCAAATGTTGGAAATATGATGTTGCAAAGCCTAAATTTGATTCAAGAAACTCCATGATTAGACGAATGGTGTCAAAGACGGAAAAGAAGAAAGAGAAAAATTAGACATTCAATCGCGGAAAGGCCCCCTACTTGTTGTGTACTATGCTCCGCATGAAATCATAAATAAGCTCTACCAAGGATTTGCAAGCATTTGGTACTGACAATAAGCATATCTATTCCCTTTCCATATAGTACAGAAGGGCTAAATAAATGTTGAGTTATAGAATCAATTAAATTGTTTGTTAATTGCAACCCCATTTCCTACAGATAGATATACAGGTGCCAAAGTCTTAGTTTTATTAGTAAATCTTCAGATATTTTTCTACACTGATGAGTACACAACTTGTATCATCTATCTTGAATGTGTTTGCATAATTTCGCTGCAACGACATAGTTGTATGTTTTTTTTTGCATTTTGGTTTTTGTGACCATCTAATAGAGTCTGCAACTTCTTATCTGTGTTTTCAGCCCACACTTGTCGCATATCGTTTTAATGATGCAATTCTTATTTCCCCCCTTCTATTGTGACTGTTCGTTCCGCATGTGTTTTTCTTTTTTCTTAGACGATTGTGATATCTAGTATTTACAAATTTTCTATCTTTATCTGTGTACAGGCAGATGTCTTTTTGATCTGTTCTAATGCGATGCAGTACAACTCATCTGATACCATTTACTTCCGGCAGGTAGGCATCATCAAATTGTTGTATTTGAACTGCTATTCTTTACGTTTCTTCATTCTCAGTTTTGATTCTGATATACATTTACACACACACACTCTTTTAGGCGAGGACTATACAAGAGTTGGCGAAAAGGGACTTTGGAAATTTGAGGCACGAGGGTGATGATGGCGAGCTGCAACCAAAAGTAGTGAAACGTGGCCGGCCACCAAGCAAACATCTAAAAAGGCCACCTGGCAGACCCCCATTCGACGGTGCTGGTCCTGAGTCTACCTCAGGTGCCACTCTTGCAACCACTGAAGACAATACAACCGAGTCTACTCCTTACAATTTAAGAAAAGGACCCATGTTGTATAGGCATCAGGCTGACGGGTTACTTGGCTCGAACCGCGATCGCAATGGGGAACAGCACTCTGAATTGTTGTCAGATTGGAATGAAGAGTTTCCAGGTTGCATTTTCTTTCCTTTTCTTCTTTGAAATATATTAATGACTAATGATGGTAAATAGTTGCGCTGCCGAAGATGGCCATCTTACTAATTGTTCTCAACCTGCAGCACGTATTCGGAGGGCCGACATGAAATATGGGAATAAACATGTTATTATAGACGAGACTAGGCGTGACACTTACAAGCAATATCTATCTTCTTTTTTTGCTGACAATCCTTCTCCTCTCTCCAACTTTTGTTGGGAAAGGAAGCAGTTAATGGCGGTACGTGATTGATTCCCTTACTTTAGTTTCGAGGTACAGTAGCTAAAGTTCAGGATTTAGAAAGCACTTTTGGGAACTAGTTTATGGCTTATGTGATATGTTTTCTTGAATGCAGGTGGGTTTACATGCTGAGCATGGTTATACTAGAAGTCTAGCTCGTTTTGCCGCTAATCTTGGACCTGTTGTCTCGAAAATTGCTTCAAAGAAAATTGAAAAAAAGTTGCCTCCTGAAGTCAAATCATCGTGCTTTCCATCTGGTAACCAGAGATGCATGCCCGGATTGGTAAGTCACAACGTTCCAAAAAGAAGCGAAATTCCAAATACTTCAGGAGCTGATCCTGATATTGAGGCTGACACGAGAGTGAATTCTCAAAACGAGACAACTAACTCGACGGTCTGGAGCTTCGGTAGCAAGAAATGGTTCTAGTAGTGTTTCTGAAAGTAACCCGCCATCACATACCGTAAGTAGAATCGGACATAATTGGTGAAGTGGAGAGTTTTGGGGAATCGTCTTGCGGGCAGCAGTTAGTACCATCAACAAACCGTAAACATTATTTATATGGTACCGGTACCGGTTCCGGTTCCAGTTCCGGTTCCACCCAATCTACACATGGGTTCATCAAGCTCTGGTTTTAGGACGGGTTCACCTCAGAAGCCTGATTCAGCATTGCAGCTCTGTCTGATTTGTGTAGTGACCCTTGTTGTGTTTTGCAATAATTATTAGGAAAGATGAAATTTCAGGTTTTAGAGGAAATCATCAGAGCCACAGAGGACCAAAATGGTGGAGTTTGATGAACTTGTAATGGAATTAAGAAAAGAAAGAAAAGCCATTTTGCGTTCTGGTGGTTTTGATATGGTAGCTTGGGATCACGTGATATCAAGGGTTTCTCGTGAGACCCGTAAAATCAATTCTCAACCCTTGGATTAGATCTACAATATAAACATTCATTATCATAAAATCGTCACGAGACTTCTTAATAATCACAAAATTGCCACCGTGCTACTTTAGACCATTATATCATTAGCTTATAAAGTTGATCGATGAACATAAATTGGTCTTTTAGGTCTCACGAAGAACCCTTAGTGTTACGTGAATCCAACCCTATATAGATATATATATATATATATATATATATATATATATATAATTTTTAAAGAATTAGTAACATAAATATCACTGTCAGAAAGTTTACGGGTAAAATCATCGAATATATTTATCGGTTGATGTTTATGTACAAAAGTCCTATAAAAGTCAAACAAAATTGTCAAAAGGTCAACGAACTTAACCCTTTACTTTTCTACTACTTTCTTGTATAATTTCCACAGTTTTTATTTCTCATATTTGCCAAGCCATACGAAACTCCGATCGTTCATCAACCATCGTAAACCATCTACTCGCTAAATCTTTTAACCTATCATCATACACTTCACAAAACATCTCCACCCATCCTTCCGGCTCCACCGCCCGATGCCCGAGTCCCGGAGTCCGATCATTCGATTGCAAATTCACCGATTGAGTCCAATCCACAACGTAAGCCGACACCCGTCTTCTAAACTTCGCCTTAAACTCCGGCCACGCTTGAAACTTATAATGGTTCACAACCATCGTTTCCATCCCTATTTTCTTACTCTTGTACCCGTCTTTTAGCTTGAAATGATGAATCACATTCAACAACGATTCATGGATCGCGTCAAGCAACACGATCGACTTGTGCCGGTTTTCCGTTTCTTTTCGACAATTGTAACCTTGCGTTACACCCATTGGCGGGTGTTTTTCTTGATTCGAGGGACCAAACTCGTAACATTTGATGATCAGTTGCCCGTGTGGATATGTTGGCAAAAGGGACGGTAAGAGAAGTTTCGATGGTTGTGATGAGGCCCATAATGGGGAGTATACGAACTCGTCGACATCGGTGTACATCATCCAATGACACGAGTCTTTGGCGAGCAATGCTGCATGCGAAAAACCGGCTTCTTGAGTCTTTGGCCATATCCAAAATCGAGTTTCGATGTCGTACCCTTTCGATTTGAGCAAAATTACGACTTTGTCCAAGTTGTCATCGCTACCATTGTCGTACAAGATGAATCTATCGACCCCAATTTTGGAATGGTAAATCACCCATTCTTTCAAGAACTTGGCTACATTGTAGACCATGGTACATGCGCACAATAGCGACTTTGCGCCACCAGTTGCTATCTTGCGCTGGGGTGTGTAGTATGCTATGGAAGGAAGCAACTGGTTGGGTTGAAGGATCAAGAGGGAGGTTTTGATTGGATTCTGACTAAACGCCGTTAAGTCGGGGCGTTGACATCGGAAGACTTCTTGCAGCGAACTTGTAACGGAAGTCCTAACGCCGTCAACAGTATCGTCACCGAAAAGGCATTTGAATTCCGTTGGGCTACGGTTGATTCCTTGGCGTTTGTTGATCCCTTTCGACAGCAAAACGACGTCGTTCTCGGTTTCGATGACATCGTAGACGATGAAGTTCCATCGGAAGAGCTCCGGCGACTGTGAAAGCAACCGGTTGTACTTCATCTTATCGTCATCCGGCGTTTTTGTGAGGACTGGCTGACGGAACGGCTGTTTCCGGCGAACACGCCTTGGGAGCTCGCACGTGAACGTTTTCCGATCCGGATACGGCAACGTGCCTGAAAACCTAGCTGGAGAAATCTCATTCGTATCAAATAAACAGAAGTAGGATGTATAATTGTTATCATCTCCATCCTCTGAAGATACAATCACAAGGGTCTCCCAAGATGGAAACAAAACCGAAACATTCGTATTCGATGAATCAGCCTTCGGAGACACATACATCGAATAATTCTTGCTATCGATTGCTTCCGAAACAAAACGCTCATCATCATCATCATCATCATCATCAGCTTGGCTGGTGATGGTATTGGTAGCGTTAGATAGAACAGTACCTTCGATTTCAGTCGAAATGCTCCGACTGTTAGGGAGTTGTGGTTCAAACTGAATCATACCATCGGCATTGAATCCAACCGAGTTCATGTTTTCTTCCTGAATTATCCGGGGATCTTGATCACAAGGAGGTTGACTGGTGACGGTGGTGATGGTGGTGGTCGTATCTTCCTCTTGTTCATGGGTGATTAGGTTATTGTGAATGTAAAGTTGGGGGTTGGAAGGGGAAGAACGGCGTAGAAGATTGGGGGAGATGGAGGCGGTTGGTAAGAGTAGGTGACAGAGAGACGCGAGGAAGAAGATGGAGGCCGATACGTACAGAAAAACTGTACGTATATTTAACGCCATTTTCAGAGGGCCAGGGCAAGAAGAAGAAGATACAGCGGTTTGTATATATAAAGGTCAGCTGTAGAGAAGAAGCGGCTATTTTTATATGGGTTGAAAACCCCCGAGTTACGACCCGAGTTGCAACCGGGCCGACTTAGAATTGGGTTTGAGTTCTGAGTCAAACTCGTTGACGATGGCTTAAACATTCTTGCAGAATGCTTTTCGAAATCACAAAATCCATCAAATGAATTTAAACAAAATTGAGGAGAATGTAATTTTTTTTTAATTTTAATTCTTTATTTTAAAGAATGATGTTTTTATATTTAATCTTTAAATTATATTTGAAAAATTAGCCGTTGGCTGAAAAATATAAGTACAGATGATAAGTTATTTGATAAACGAATTTATTTAATATAAATTATGTTTTAAGATATACTAGTTGTGAACCCGCGCAATGCGGCGGGACCGTAGAAGGCGTGAATGTAAACAATTTTGAAGCTTTCGTGGTTTTGTTAGAGGAGATCTTATAACATAATGATCTTCTAATATAGATATTTAMTTTCTAAATTTATCCTTGGTTGTATTTGGAGGARAACCTTCCACAAATATTTTCGATGTTAAAAGCCAACCTTTTGTGTACCTAGGACTGCGAAWGATTATGATAAACCAATTACTTTGAGCAAAGTTACTTTGAAATTAAGATTCCTCATATTAAAAGAACTTGAAAGGTTAAAAGACGTATGAATATAAATGTTCACTTCAAATGAACAATCAAATAGGATGATCTATATGTTTTCTTAGAGTGATAACTGCAGTGATACACCCTTTGAAAATGTGCATCAACTGAAGGTGAGCATTAACAACACAAACAAATACATAGAGGACGTGTTTCGCAAATAGTTTAGTAGATATATATATATAGGGGCCTATTCAAGGGAGAACTGAGTTGTTTGTGGTAACTGTGAGAACCAAACCACAAATCAATAGATAAATTAGGAAATTTATAAATTTGGTAATTTTAAATTAAAATCTTAATGCAAGGATATTTTTGGTATTTTAAAAYTCTCCTCTCTTCTCTCTCCGGCCACCGTTCTCCGGCCTCTGGCCACCGTCCTCCGGTGATACCAATATGATACCACTGTGATACCTAAAAATATTGACTCTGTTAAACAAAAGATACATTGTGATACCTAATCATATATAAGATGCATAGTGATACCATTGTGTTATATCTTCGATCAACCACACAAACGACATCAATGTAATACCCAACACATATATGATGCATTGTGATACCATTGTAGTATCACCGGAGGACGGTG